TGTTGAACAACTATGTGGGATCTTTCCCAATATTACCTAAGTTGGGATCTTTCCCAATATTACCTAGGTTGGGATTTTCCCCAGCGAGAGTTATGCATGGATTTTCCCCAGTAGTTTGCCAGATTTATAACACTAACGTGTTATCTCATGTTGGGATTTCCCCAAAAAATACCTAATGTTTATAACATTTTCATGTTATCAAACGTTGGGATTTTTCCCCATAAAATACACACGAATCATAACATTTTCATGTTATCATAAGTAGGGATATTTCCCATGAAATATATCACATGTTGGGATCCTCCCAAGTATATAACATTAACATGTTATCAATTGAACTTATGGTGTTTCCCAAGTCTGTAACCTAAACAAGTAATCCTAAGATAAGAATTTCGTCGTATGATCTTATGATTAAGGATCCCCATCATTAAGGATCCTCATCATTAAGGATCCTTATCGGTAAGGATCCTCATCAGTAAGAATCTTATCATCAGAAGTCAACAGCGATCCTAAGTTCTTTCCTAAGTTGAGATTTATCCTCAGTAAATTCTAAGATTAAAAAACTTATGAAGCTTAAGGAAAAACTCGAATACAATCAGGTTCCATCTTTCCTTCTTCTTAAATTTGAATTTTTTTAAGTAAAATTATGGATCTTAAAGTTTCCAGGATCCTAAACCAATTGTTGATTTATAAACTTTCATCACTTCAGAGTCATTTACTATTTTAAATTGATATCTTTAAAGAAGTTTTAAAGAACTTAGATTTACCAAATTTAGTTCTTAAGAAATTCTTTTATACTTGTTTGATTATAAAAATTATTTGAATCTCTTAAGGATTACCAGTCAATCATCAAACTTTTAAAGATGCTTTAAATATTTTAAATTGGTTAACAAAGTCATTTCTTATTATTTTAAGTTATTACTTTTAGTTGCTTAACTAATTCAATCCTTATCAAATCATTTTATCTTGAAAATTATTCACTAATTTCAGGATCCTAACTACATAAAAATCCTAGTACTATATTTGACACGCAGATTAAACATGAAAAAGAAATAAAGACAGATAAAGGGGAACAAGCTCCTCAAATTTGAATGCTTCATCAAAACTAAACCTAAGGGTCATTAGGATACTAAGCAACATTTACAAGCTTTTCGATCAACTTAGCCAGGGTTTCATGCCAATCTTCCACATTCTAAGATCCTCGCATGCTCCGATCGGTCAAGCTTCACCTCCAGATCTTCGGTGGATCAAGAAATATGATCAAGCAACCTGTAAAAGATCACGGTAAATGAAATAAAATTAACAAAAAAAGGCATAAAAATCCTTATAGATTGGCAGAAAGAGATCAGCTTCCTTAATACCTCGTCCACATCAAGGCTCTCCAAATCCAAGGTCTCAGCCGACTTCTTCTTTCGGGATCCTGGGGTATTGACAGTCAGATTTATCGAGGTTCTCTTCATAGGAAGAAAAGATGAGGTATTATCCTTCATCACCAAAAGTTGGCCACCAAACATGGTAGAGTTGATATCAACAAGGGTGAACCAATCACTAGAGTGTGTAGCCTTGGATTCTAAACATAACAAAAGGAACTCAATAAATTTAGGATCCTTCATGAAGAATAAAAATAGAGAGATAAAGGATCTTTACCTTTCGACATGGGTACAATCGCAGATTTACTCTTTTAAAAGTTGGGTTGTTCGAACCTAAAGGATCCTTCGGTCTCAGGCAGAGCAAGAAAACTCCCAACGCTCTCCGCAGTATATTCAGTGGTAGGGACGAGATCCTCAAGCCTGAAAGTTGCATCAAAACAAATTAAAACAAGAAAGTTTGAACTTCATATACTCAACAAAATAAAATAACATCCTACCTTTTCTAACCCGATTTCTTGGCAGGAGATCACCGGCGAGATGGATTTACGTTTCACAAAGAAATATTTCTCTTTCTAAGAACCTTCATTTTGTTTTAATTTCAAAATAAGATGTGATTTACTTGTTTTGACTCTGAGCAGGAAAGGACAGGACCCAAAATTTTGTCGATCACAAACATGGTCCAACTTATCTAAATCCCATGTCTAGATCCTTAGATTGATTCAATCGATCAACCTAGAGCATGATCCTCCAAATCATGAGCATAGTTTGGGTCTTAGCATCAAAAGGCTTGAAAATAACATCGGAAGGAAAAGCTCCAATTGACTTCAGGAACTCAATGTCGTCATCACCAAAAGAACAGGTCTCTTCATAAGACAGGATCCTCTGGTTGATGAAGTCCTCGTCAGAAAATCAAGGATACTCAAGTGAGAATGGAGTGCCTCTTTACCCATAATCAACAAACAGGAAAACTAAGAAGAAAGGAGAAAGAAATTTACCTTCAAACCAAGGAGGAAAAAGTGATTTGACAACACAATCATATCTTTTGAACGGATACAATTCTATCCGTTAGAGTTTGAATTTCAAATCCTTTATTTCCAATTAATTAAATTATACACTTTAAATACTTGAAATCAATTCAAATATTTTGCAGGTGTAATTTGGGGGCAATTGTTAGGGTCAGGATCCTCAAAGCATTCAGGATCCTCAAACCTCATCAAATATTCAGGATCCTCAAATATCTCAGGATCCTGACTATTATCGTTATTATTATTTACTAACACTTATAACGGTTATATTTCGTTCTTAATCAACACATGTGTAGAAATAGTCATGGGAGGACTCATTCACAACGAAGAATCAGTCCAATCAGGCTTAAGACCCGGAAAAACCAAGTGAAAGCACATTGTAAATACCAGCTCATCAAGATCCCAGAGATATCGGACATTTAGTTACTTAACCTATATTATAAATACACCTGTAAAACACACACAACGAACACAATTCTTTGACACCTTACTCATCTAGACTCACTTTTTCATTTGTAATCGTATTATCAAGCTCATCTCTGTAATTTATGTTCAAATCAATAAGATCATACAAGGCAGGTGATCATTATCATCTCCCAAGGTTTTATGCCGGAGATCCTAGCAAGGATCAAGGGCTTTCTTTGTAAACCTCCTGTGTTATTTAGATTTCAATTCCATATTCTCATTAATAACAACACCACAGCCTCTCATACAATTTGGTTGATATTCATCTAGTCGATTTTTCACCAAAACATAGGTGTTGATTAGAGTTGAGATTCGGAGCAGAGACCTCATCAGCTTTTGTCCAGTTTGCGAGGTGAGTTTTCCTCACTGTATCATGGGTCAAAGGCACCCATTCCAGTCCATTAGTTTATGTATCCTAGTCATAGGATAGTGATATACTAATATTTAACTGAGTATTTGATCCGTATGATTATCCTTAATTGTTGGTTTTGTGTTAAATTATTTGTTCACATGTCGAGATATTGTTTTGGATTGAGGTTGTACTGCTTTGTACTGTAACCAAAAAACCAGGGAGCATTGCAAATACGAGTTGAGAATCGGTAGGTATACCAGACTCATACTGAGGGCTCAGGAGCAACCCATACATAATTTGTGGGTCCGAGGGCAATCCCGACTTATATTGTGGGCTCGGGAGCAAGCGAGATTTGATTTGTGGGCTGAGGGCAATCCAGACTCATATTGTGGGTTCAGGGGTAATCCAGACTATTAGTTGTGGATCAAGTGCATGTTGTTATTTATCATATGTTATATGGTGCTACTTTGGGGGAACTCACTAAGCGTTTGCTTACAGTTTTCGTTTGTCGTTTCAGGTGCCTCAGATGATCGTGGAAAGGCAAAGGTGTGACCGTGCATATCCTTTTGTTATGGGTTTTTAAGATTTTAAGATACTCTAATATTACATAAACACTTTGAAAACAATGGTTGTAAACATCCATATAATTGTGGGGTGGTTTTGAAAAGTTTAAAATTGTTGTGATTTTTAGTAGTGTTACAAGTTGGTATCAGATCCTTAGTTTAAGTGAATTGGAGGAACACTCATGTGAATCCAATCTCAAACTGAGGAAAAAGTATTAAAAATTATTTTTTAAATTGTTCCAAAATAATCAAAGAGGATGTGATGTGTACGGTCAGTCAGAGCCTATAAGTTGACCCCAAATTACCACACTATTATTTGATATTGTGATATGTTAGAATAGCTAGTGATAGGCTAGGGATCTTCAGGATATTCATGTTAGAATTTCCTAATTATATGATGCGTGATATCCTAGGGTTCCTTATATGAAATTGACATAATTACTGTAGTTGCTTTATGTATGCATCCTAGTTATACATAACAAAGATTTTATAGCCTGAGAATGTTTAATTTGGCCTTATTCCTTGTTCCTTGTTTGGTTGTGGGATTAGGGTAGGATCAAATGTTCGACTGTCTATAGGATCCAGTGTTATGTATGATTAGCATACACGAGTGCGGCAAGGTTGGTGGAAGTTTTAGGGATGAGTTGTGTGAGGGCAGCAGACCAGTTACACCATGTTTAGCCTTCCTCTAGGAAAGTGAAGATAGATTGTATGCGTATTCTAGTGATTATTGTTAGGGTTGTTGTGACGGTCCTCTGAGACAAATACGGGTATGTGTGGAAGGTAGTATGGGCTCGTACTACTGGAAGCACAGCCCTTTCATGACGCACAAACAATGACACGCGCTGATAGAGGACGCGCATTTGTGTGTGCCCTAAAAAATAATGTCAGTTTTGCAAAATTTGAAGGATAGAGGACACGCATTTGTGCGTGCCCTAAAATTATTGTCCAACGAAAAAAATTAAAAACACGGAAGGCACCTAAATTTAAGTGGCTGTCGTGTAGAGATGTCGTTTTATAAAATTTTAATACGCGCGTCCCTCTTTCATGCAACTAACGGGGGAAACCAAATCCCCAAATAATTCAAGTACCCCGCCTTCCCCAAAAAATCGAACCTCACAATATCTTTCATGGAGTCGGCTTGGGGGTCTACGACTCCTCAAACTCAAAACGCCGGCGATTTTAAGGTTTTTCTTGTCCCCAATATCAAAGAACTAGGGATTTTATGCTCTGGACCTCACAAGTGCGCACCCATGAACTAGGGCTTTTATATCGGCGCACTACTAAATTCCATAAAAACGCAGGAGGGTTTTTTTTTAAGAACGAAAACGCTCTCACTTCTCCTTGTCCTCTGCAACAATCGATGATCGCAGTACCTCACCCCACCTCGCCTTGCTGACAACATCGAGGTTTCACTCTAGTTTCCCTAACACTTTCTCATTTTCTACTTCAAAATCGCATTCATTTTCACTGTTGTTGGTTCATTAGCCAATCGCCAACCACTGCTCGCAGCACTTGGCTGTCGTCAGTTTGCCGTTTCTGCCGACGATTCTGCCAAGAGAAAATACGCCAACAATGTGTCTAAATACAATACCGTCATTGGATCTCTCACTTCTCAAAGAAGGTATGTCTCTCGCCGCTCTTTTTCCATTTCTTACTTAATCAACAGTAGCACACCCTTTTTCACTCCACTCTTTCTCTCTCTACAAACAACCAAGAAGCAGCAGCAGCAGCACAAGAAAGATGGGCGAAGGAAAAGGCTCATCCCTAGGGTTTTCTGCTCGATTCCTCTGTTCACATTGATTTTCTCATGTTTAGCGACGATTATATCTGCTGACTTGCTAAATGAGTTCGCCATTTCAATTCCATTCTTCAGCTTCATGAGATCTAGGTTTTTGAACACTAAAGCTGCTATGAACCTTCACACAATGTTTAGTGATTTTTTGCTTGTAATTGTTCTTAGAGTTCTTCCATTCTGTTTATGCAGTTCATTTTCAGATAATCGAAACTCATGATGATCGTGATTCGTGAACACTAGGTTATTAAATTTGTTCTTTATTGATGACAGGGAACCATTCGCACAGATAATGCAACTAATTCCACTTACTGCGTGTACGATTCAGATGTAGCAACAAGCTATGGCGTTGGTGCCTTTCTGTTTCTTCTCTCAGGTGAATCCTTACTCATGGGAGTAACCAAATGCATGTGTTTTGGAAGGCCATTAGCACCTGGTGGAAATCGAGCTTGGACCATCATTTATTTCACATTCTCACTGTAAATCTCTCAACATATATACAAAAGAAACAAACTTTTTTGTCCCAATTCTTGAAACTTGAAACTAAAAACTGTTATCTTTTTACATAATTTGTAGGCTGAGTTTTGTGGTTGCAGAAGCTTGTTTGATAGCAGGGGCAAAGAAGAATGCATACCATACTAAATACAAGGGTATGACAAAGCTTTTTATGTGATACATTAGGGAAAGGTGTTTTTGTTGCAGGAGCAGTGTTTGTGGTGGTGACAATGGTTCTGAATGTGTATTATTACATGTACTTCACTAAGGCTACAACTCAGCCTGCTCATTAAAGCAACCGATCTAGCTCAACTGTTGGAATGGCTTCTTATGCATAAGACCATGTTGCTTGACTTTTGAGAATACTTTAAATGTGTACATTTAGCATCATATGATTGCAATGATTTGTTGTTTTTGTGGGTCTTTTTCTATAGGATGAAGTTGAGGGTTTGTTTCTTTTGGATTTAATGAGCTAAATAGGTTAAGTACTTAATCTATATGTTTATATGTGGTTTTTTCTTTTTATTTTTTATTTTTTTTAATCCGGATATCTAGATAGAATGAGTTAATGGGTTAAGCAAAAAAGTGGCTTAATGTATCAAGACATCAATACTTTACTTCTTCCCTTTGAATATTGTTGTTGGAAGGTAAGGGTAAAGTGGCTTAATGTCTGAATACAATACGGTCATTGGATCTCTCACTTCTCAAAGAAGGTATGTCTCTCGCCCTCATTTCGCAATGGTTTCATTGTTTAATCATACACTTTACTTTTAGGGTTTCTGAGAATTCTAAATTCATGAATCTGATAGGGATGTTCATTTATAGGATTTACTTTTTGAGGGATGTATATGTTGATATGATGTTGGATGGAGTGAAACCAGAGAAAGATACATTTCGTACACTGACTACTGGTAGTATGAAAGGCGTCCGTCTACAGGACTGTTTCTTCTTCCGTGATCAAATGAAATCCATGGGTTTGATTTCTGATGTAAGCTTCTAATGATCGAATCTCTGCCTCCTGTTACTTTGTTTTTAACAGTTAATTGTTTCGTGACATTGTTCATATTTGTTACAGGTTGTTTTGTACAACTTCATGATCTCAACATGTGGGTAGTGTAAGAACTCCACTGAAGCAACACGGGTATATAGTATCTGTAACTATATATCATACCTTCATAGCTTTTCATCTCCTAACCATTTGTTGTCTTGTCTCTTTAACTAAAGATCTTTGAAGAAATGAAGAAGCTTGAAGTAAAACCTACTGGACAAACATTTATATGTCTGATCAATGCATGTGCAGCCACTGGCAGAGTATATCAAGTGTATGCATTTCATTATCTATTTATATGTCAACACTTCAATAGATACATATTATCGATGATCATATAATATTAAATTACCATTTTCATATATGCAATTATTCGTGATATGACTGCTGCTGGACTTGGTTTAAACAAATTCTACTATGTGGGACTTATAGTTGCACATAAGAACAAGACTCCATTAGCCAAGGACACATCTGCTAAAGTAGTTCTTGAGCTATCTTTATATATTTTTTCCCAGTTTCATAAATTTAAATGTTTTTATTTTTCATGAAAAAAATCTTGGAGCTTGTTGAGCAATCCAAAGGGTGGTCTTCACTAGAACAGACTAGGCAGTGGATGCTCTTCAGGAGATGCTTAAGAAAGATAACAAAAATCCTGATGTTTTCAAACTGATTCAAATCATGAGGTGACTAAGTTGTAGTAATATTGGATATAATTGGAACTTTGGCCATAATCTGTTCATCTGTTGAATGCATCTATTCTTTATTCAAGTTGCTGATAAAGTTTGCATGTGTTGATTGATTTAATAACAGAAGAAGTAAAGGCCAAACATCCAAGAGTGACATACGCTGATCTCTATCAAGTGATTAATTAATTGTTTAAATACCTGCTTGATTACATGCTAATAGCTTCAATTTAGTGGTTGCATCATTCTTAAACTTATGGTATTTTGATAAAATTGTAACAAATGAACTTCAAATTCACCCTTTTAATTTCCAAAATTATGATGAAATATATGTTTTTCAGCTTGCTGGAGTTGTTGCAGTTGAGGTGACTGGAGGCCCCACCATTAACTTCGCATCTGGAAGGAAGGTATAATAAATTATAGTAATATTTTAGCTATTAATTAATAAAGCAGTTTCTTATATTAATTATAACTTCTCTACTCTATACTTAACTTGCTTATTCTCCATTTATTTATTTTTTCTGAAACATGATTCAAATGAGTCGCCTGATGAAGGACTTCTTCCTGATGCCAAACAAGGTCAGTTGATTTACTTAATTAGAACATTTTGGGTATTGTTTTTGGCTATGCCTTCTGGTTTTCTACATGTTTTTTGTCTATATTTGTCAAATAGTTAAAAGAAAATGTAAAAACATCAATTTTCAAGATTCACTACCTGTTCATAAAAATTGCTATAAAATATATTTTAATTAAACAGGTTATCCCACCCAAACTTATTTTAATTTTGTCACACACCCGCATTTTCTAATAATCAAAGATATTATGTATGAAAATAACATGTGTCTTTTGTTATTTTATTATTCAGGTTTGAAATTCTTGACTTTTGATCAAGCTTTTGCTGAGAAGCATTATGCTGATTTGCTGAGAAGCATTATTATTCATGACTTCTTGACATATGATAAGAGCAGGCTTCCACTAGGTAAGTATGCTATCATTCATGGTTGATATATAATATAAAGTATGATATCATTCATGGTTGATGGTTGGATTGTTGGATTGTCCTGCATATGGTCATGAAAATTCTCCATGAACAATGAATGCCATTTTGGTCTCTCAGGTATCTGCCTTGCCTTGGCTTTTTTGTTGTTATTGATATTGGGCTTTTTACATGCTAACACGAGCTTTTCCAATTCCTAAATTCATCCAACATTGTATGTTAATTGTGTCTGTTATCTTGTATTTCCATGCTAACATGAGCCTTTTTATCCTTGCATTTCTTTACGTTTCTTTAACTGATCATTCCTTGAGTGTTATCCCTAAATATTACTATCAAATCAAATAAGTCATCAAAGTCCCTCACAGATGTAATTTCAGATTATTCACAGCTTTTAGACACACATATGTCTTTCCTCCAAGACCTCATCCTTTAGCAAATGGAACCAAAGTTGGAAATAAAATCAACTCGACATGAAGAATAAAAACAAATTTTTTTTCAAGAGATTAAGCTTCATAGGACAACATTAAAGAATAAAATTAACTCAAGTATGTGATGACAACAAGTTGTTAAAACCAGGTTAATTCTCAATAATAATGATAGTTCAATAGTAATTAACAAATTATAATATGGGTTTATTTTCTAATTCTCTAACTTGATTACTTATTTTTTGTAGCTTATGGGAAACATACTTTATTACTATTGGAGAGCCCATACAATTGTGGTGACTGAAGATGGCATCATGTGGAAACAGAAGCATAACAATAAGAAGTAGAAACAAGAAGGTGTTCCTTAATAGCAATGTAGTATTAGGTTATATAGTTATGGAAAACCTCTTAATAATAATGTACAATCCGATCCCCTTAATACCAATGTATTACAATATTTTGACATGATGTTATGGATGAAATTTATTGTTTTGGTATATATTTGTTTCCATATTTTTGTATTATGCGTAAATGAGTATCGTAAATACACGTCGTAAATGTATATCGTAAATGGTTGTTGAAGTTTATGACACGCAAATGGATGTCATCTTCATTTATGACAGGGGTTTTAATGATACACAATGCGTATCCTAAACGTGCGTCGTAAGGTTACGACACGCAAATGCATGTCGTCTTCCTTTATGATTGGGGCTTCCTTGATACGCATTGCGCGTCGTAAGTGCGCGTCGTAAATGTGTGTCATAAATGTTCATCGTAAATGCGTGTCGTCTATAGACGACGCGCAAAAGCGTGTCGTCTCTCGTTATGAAATGGCCTTCCTTGACACGCATTTGCGCGTCGTCTGAGCGTTTTACGACACGCGTTGCGAGTCGTAAAAGGCTGTTTTTCTAGTAGTGGATCATGGTTTATTTTTCAATATGGTGATAACGAGACGATTTGAGGCAGGATTCGGGTTAGGATTTGGAGCGGGTGCCTAGGATAGGCCAACAATAACCGGGGACCAAATCAGGGAGATTATACATGAGGAGGTTGTTACCATTGTCCGAGGGCAGATGACGGAGATGTTTGGGTCTATCAAGACCGCAATGATGGAGTTCTTTATTGATAGATACACTACCCTTGTTGAGAGTGCTATTGTTGCAGCCACCGCAGTCGTTGTCACTGCAGGGGTTGGTGCTGGGAGAGCTTTTCAGTACTGGGACTTCGATAATACGAAGCCCCTAGAGTTTGAGGGAGTTCAGGATTCGATTATAGCCATGAGGTGGTTATATGACATTGAGGAATGCATTTTTACTTGCTCTTGCCCACCTGACCAGAAGATTAAGTGTGCTCTGACCTGCTGCGGTCCGGAGCAAAGGATTGGTGGAGACTTGTTACTAGTTTATATTCTGCTGAGCAGAGGGCTGCTGTGACCTGGGAGCAGTTCTCTAAGATGTTCTATTCTAGATATGTTCCACTGGTGGAGCGGGAGAGGTTGGCCTAGGAGCACTTTGATTTGAGACAGGGGATGGAGTCGGTGACAAAGATTACCAAGATGTTTACATAGAGAGCTATGTTTTGCCCTGAGTTTGCTACTTCTGAGCAAGATTAGATGACCCGGTACTTGAGCATGCTCAAGAAAGACATCCGACAGTTTGTGTCCACCCAACGCTATGGTTTATTATTGGAGTTGTAGGAGGCCACCAGGCGGCGTGAGATTGAGATGGAGCTCCAGACGAGGGAGAAGAGGTAGGCACCCATGCAGTCACAGCCTGCAGCGAAGTGGTTTAAGGCCGCTAATTTCAGGACAGTGAGTTAGAGGGGCCATACTTTTGGGTATTGCGGCAAGGTTCATGGTGGTAGATGCCGATCTTCTTCTGCATGCCACAATTATGGCAGGCAGGGCCATGTTGCGAGAGATTGCTGACAGCAGGCTCCAGTACCTAGCACCAGGATTTTCTATCATTGTGACCAGGTTGGCCACATGAAGGCTAGCTGTCCCTTGCTTACTGCCAGGCTGGTGCTTGCTCCAGTTCCAGCTAATTTGAGGATCTCGGATAGGCTTCAGGGCAGGGCAAAGACTCTGAAGTCTCATGGTCATGCTTTTCGGTTTATGGCAGAGGAGGCCAGGACAGCGCCAGATGTCGTTACTGGTATGTTTCTGTTTATCATTTCTACCAGTTATTTTACGAGACGCTCATGTTTATGTTTATATTAGGTACCTTCCTAGCGAACTCTCTTCCTGCTCTTGTACTAATTGACTCGGGTGCGATTCGGTTGTTTTTATTGCAGACTTTTAGTAGGGATTTCAGTAGGACTCTTAGCGAGTTGGAGTGTCCATTGCGGGTTTCTATTGCCAACGAACACGGGATTTCTACATTCAGTGTGTATCAGAATTGTGTTTTGGAGATCTTCGGGGTTTCCTATCCAATTGATTTGATCGCTATTCCCATGAGGGATGTGTGTGTGATAGTAGGGATAGATTGGATGAGCTGGTTTGGGGCCATGATCGATTGTGAGGGCCAGCGAGTTGTAGTTTGTACCCCAAGTAAGGGAGAACTGGTGATCTTTGGAGAGGGTATCTGGATTGCTTAGTGGGTTTTGTTCGGCTCCCCGGGCTTGGCAGTATATCCAGCATGGGTATGTGGTTTTATTTGGCTTATGTGGTTGATACGCGAGTAGGGGAGTAGACTTTAGTTTCTGATGTGCTGATTTTCAGGGAGTTTGCCGATGTATGTCCGGAGGAGTTACCCGGAGTACCTCCCGAGAGGCAGGTTGAGTTCAAGATTGATCTAGTGCCAGGTGCAGCCCCAATTTCCAAGGCGTTGTACTGCTTGGCACCATCGGAGATGCATGAGTTGTCCTCTAAGCTCTAGGAGCTGTTTGCCAAGAGTTCATCAAACCTAGTAGTTCACCGTGGGGAGCACCAATTTTGTTTGTCAAAAAGAAGGATGGTTCACA